ATCCTGGTTAAACTATATGGGTACATTGGTCCTTATTGGCGATATTGACATTTACTATATATCAGGCATAACATTTGATAACGGCACAAAAGCATTTGTAAACAAACTTTCTAAGGCCCTTTACTCGCGAACCAAAGTACGCCCACGCAAACCAATACCACTTTCGGAAAGGTTGTGATAGGAGTTGCTCCTATCCGATGATGTTGTTGGTTTGCGTGAGCTTACTTCGATTTAAAATCTATCGATCAATTGTAGAGCAATGATTTTTCAAACATTGCCAATTTTCTGCTACACATTTTACCGGAGGCATCATGTTCGGAGCGGTAAAAAGAATAGTCGCTATATTCATAGTATGGCGGATATAATCTCAGGAACCAATTGAGCTGTCAAATAGCGGAACCAATCGAGCAAATCACGACCAACAACAGAAAAGGGCACATCACCTAGTGCGAACAAATCTTTGGAAACCCTTTTCTCGTGACTCAAGGCTCGCCTACGCAAACTAACACACAAACTTAGGTTGAGAAAAGTTTCCCCTATTCGATGATGCCGGTAATTTGCGTTCCATTGGCGAGGAAAGAATAATCAACGTTTTGTTTATATAAGTTGAGAGTACCTTTTCAATTGTTGGTCTAAAATATATTATATTGGTTCCGCTTTTTGAAAGATCAAAATTCTATCCGCCAGACTATGAATATAGCGACTATAGTAAAAAGGGGTACAGTTTTCATTCAACTCGCGCTTTCTCTTGTCAATCATGTATCCAGCACCGAGACCAAGATTTGTGATAGATCAGTGCACGTAGATGTCAAATTTGACAATTTTGGGTTGTTTGTTTCGGTTCACATTCGTCTAACTGTTGCCATCACTTTTACTTTGGTGTTAAATGAAACGGATACAACAAGACCAAATTGTGAGGTTAGGGACCGTGCACTGATCTGTATTATCACTTAAATTCTATGACTGCGATATAAAATGATTTCTATCGTAATTTCACATACTTAGTACTTGATAAAACTTTGCTTCGAACGTGGTTAGCGATAGGTAAGACGTATTTGAATATTGTCTTATATATTTAATCGTGAAAAACTGTTGATATGTCATGGGTGAGAACAGACATCTCGAAACTAATGGAAAATCATATAAGTTTGAACTATGAGAAAATTCAGTAAAATATACCTGTTTTTATGATGAATATTGCTCACTAAAAGATATATCTTATAAGATAATCATGTATATTTTATTGGAGTTGCTTTTAACGATTTTTGACGTTTGTTGATATGTCGCGTGTAAACAGCCATGTAGAAACTATTGGACAGTCATTTAACTTTGCAGTATAGGAAAACATGTATATCTCATTAGAATAGCTTCCTTTGATTTTTGAGGTTTAAATATTGTAAACAGATCTATCCCAATCATTGTATAGTCATATAGATTTGCCTTTTAAGAAATCCAACAGCAAACGTTTGTTTTGGCATGCTTTTCTGGGATGAATATCGCTCCCAATAAAATACATCTTACATGATGTTCTTCATAAATTATTGAAACAATTTTCAACGATACTATCGTACACTCATTAAAATAATTAGTCGAACTAAATATTTCTAACGACAATGATACTGTATTGAATAATCTTTGTTTGTTATTGTTCCATTAGATAAGGGGTTGCGGAAAAGAATGTATTGAGACCGAAAAAAAAAATTATTCTACTGCAATATTTATTTGCTAAGATTCTAATTGTAAGCCTTCTACACGGATAATTCAGATTCCAGCACTATTACTCGAACTTCATGAACCAGTTCCATGAACTCATATAATGTAGTCGTTGTTTTATTGCACACATGAGCATTAAGAAAGATTTGAATACACGAAACCACCGAAACGGTGCATAAATTTGTCAGTGTTATTTTTCTTCACTCTAGCAAAACGAGCATAACGTTGCACTACATTCCATGTCGGGAGAGCTGTTCTTACTTCATGCTAATTTTTTTTTTTTTCCTTTGGTTTGTTTTTTCCGTCGATCTTGTTTTCCGTGCTGAGCACCAATGCTACCGACGTGCCAGGAAGGCAGCTCCCACACCTGGACCCTACCTATCGACCCATCAACTCATGAACCGGGGACCAACGGCTTTACTTCCCATCCGAAGGAAGGCGTGATCAGAGATGTTATGCCTCAGAACATCCCGGCGGCGCCGACTGGGATTGAACCCAGGCCTGCTGGGGTGAGAGGTAATCACGCTTACCACTACACCACCGGCGCCGTTAACTTCATGCTAATTGAACGAGCTCAATATTGAAATCAGCCGTGGCCCAGTGGAATCGAGCGCAGACACCGAAAGCATTCACACCTCAAAAGTTCTGGATCGAATCCCAAATCAGCTACAGCAATTGGTGAAAGCTCCCCACTGCCTGATGTTTATTTTTCGATTTATTTTTAGAAATCGATTAAATATACGTGTCAACATAAGAAGTAACTTTCATGTGATTTTCACATAAACTTTACTTCGATTGATTTATGACACATATTATATTGTGGTGAAAAGTAAAGCTTATGCTTATGGGTTTCAAATCCATTTCAGTTAATTATTATAATTTGACCAATTTTCATTTATCATATGACGATCATATAAAAGTTACCAAATTATCAGCATTGTAAATGTATCAGATATACATATAGAATTTACCTGACACATTTTCAATCATATCATTTTCAATGGATTATCTTATAGCGCAAATTTATAAGATTTCCACATAACAGGAATATGTCATATTGGTTCAGTGTATGAGTTTTCATCTTGTTTGTACTGAGTATGTGTTCCATTTGGTGAATTTTCACTTAAATTTGCCAGATGGAACATTTTCAAATAAACCTGCTATTGTCAGGGGTTTGACATATAGCTGAATACACGTACTCAACATCAAAACAACAAAACATATCATGGTACCGCTGACAACGTTGCAGATGTTCGGTACGCAGCAAACTTAAGCGATATGACAGCCATATCCATCCCCTGGCTATTGACCAGACTTATTTCTGACACCTTCTCGAAAATAGGAAGGGATTTTCGAACATCTTAATTTATTTTCGAAGTGTCAAATTTAAGTGAAAATTCACCAATTGGAACACATTCACCCATTTGGTGGATTATTTTAACTTTGGGTTAAAATTTGACAGATGGAAAGTTATCGATTAACCCTGCTATCCGAGCGGGGTTATTTCTGACAGACAAGAAGTTAAATGTTGACAACCGTGGCTGAGTTCTTCTCGAAAACCGGTCGATCGATAGCACAGGGATTTTCGAACATCAAGAATAACTTTCGAAATGTCACTTTTAACCACGAGTTAAATTTAACTCGGCAAATGGTTCACAGCCTGAGAACATAAAGCAAAGTTGCGTTGTCATGACAGCAGCGACGAAAGCTCTGATGATTTTCTGCTCGATTATCAAAGTGTATTCAATATTGCTGATTCACATATATCTTAGCATGCATGCATCGACATTTCACAAATAAGAAGAAGCAACATCCGCAGCTGTCAAACATAAACACAACCGGATAATAACTATCATTCTTCGAAGCCTCGGTTGAAGACAGATCGATCCCTCTTGATGCAATCGACTCGATCCGCCTGGATTATCAATTGTATCAATCAGGCTATACTGGAACCACATGTAACCCTAGAATCTACTAAATAGTTGTGGAGACGATGGCCTTATGAAATAAAATAGTGTAGTAGTCCATAGGTTGGTTGGAGTATCTTCTTTTGCCAATGCGCTGAAAAGCAGTTTTAATTTATTTTTCTATTCAAATAAATATTTCAAGATATCTTCAATTTATCTTGCGAACTTCCACCTGAATTGTTGTTTTGAATGATTCCTTTTACATTTTATGTGTTGTAATGCGAATAAGGTCTTCAACTCGGTCTTCAAGGAACGATTTTGGTTCAGTGTTCGAAAATCCCAAAAGCAGCTGTCAGTGACGATTGTCAATTTCGGTTGTCAAATCTGACGCCAAATGCTAGTTTTACTCTGAACTGGCAATATACAGATATATTATTTTGCACGCATCACACGTAAATAGTAACGTCATCATTTCAAACCGACATGCATCTGTAAATTATTATTTTCCTGGTTTTGCTGAAAAAAATTCCCGGTTTTTCCTGGTAAAACAAAATTCCCGACATTTTCCTGGTATTCCTGGTTCACTTGCCACCCTGTACCATGTAAAAAAAAAACATGCCAAAATATAAAAATAAAATGGATTTGGATACCATTCACTTCAAATTGACACTTGGAAAAATAATTTAAAATGCACAAAAATCCCTATTAAGTAGCGCATGGAAGAGGGGTAGTGGAAAATATTACGTAGCAGATTGAGAAAGTGAAAAAAAAAACGAAAGCGAAAAACAAATGAAAAGCGAAAAAATATTTTCTGTTAAATAAATCCACGCACCCCATAATAATATAATGCAAAAAAACTGTTAATTGCGATTTTTATTCAATCTTGAATAAGGGGGGAGGGGTTTGAGTTTGCGTTACTTTATTTTGAAGGGGGAGGTGTCGATTGAAAATCAATCGATACTTTTTGTTGTGACGGAGTTCAAAATACGAATTTTTAGCGTATTGTAATTTATGTACCGCGCCTGTTGATCGATCGACTTTCCACTAGATGGTTATCAAAATTAATTCCGTGACTATCAGAAATAAGTACTGTAACACAGTCATAGTCATATATCGTTTTCGGTTTAACAAATATATTTTTACATTGAGGCTTATGGGTTAATGATAATACAAATTCATCGATGCTATGTTAGCGGTAGTAAGTGAGCCTTCAATAATTTTTATAAAATTATAGGTTTTCGAGGGAAGACGCATTTAATGATTTGAAATTAAAGGTTTTTTTTATTGATAGTACAAAATCAACCTCTCAAAATTTAGGCATTCAGAATGTATAATTAAAAATTAATAGCGACGAAGAAACAGAGACATCACATCACTTACATAGATTTATACATTAGTTCACCCTTGGGTCCAACCTGTTGATTTTGCAGTCTTGTTTTCACCAAGTCCAATGGAAAAACACATGACACTCCGATGATGCCTGCAATGCCACCGTTGATAATCTTTGGGATCAGTCTGTGAACAAACATCGCATAATAGAATATGAATATACCCGGTAAATATAGAGTTGGCAACAGTCTGCGCAACACTTTACGCCGTACAAACGTGTTAATAACTTACGGAAACTGTTTGGCGTCTGTCGATGTGCCAGCCATTCTGCTTGATCTGTAAAAAAAGTGTATTTTTTTTATTTGTTATTAAAATTAGTATTGTTAAATTTGTTTTCTTAACTTAAAGCTTAAAAAGCAGAGCCATAAAGTCAGCAACAGTCACGTACCAAAAAAGTTATAAAACCCCTCCCAAAAACGTTCGATTGAACAAAATGTTATTTCAAATTTTATCAACACCTACTTTAAAAAGATGGTAGTGATTTGTCCAGAAGAAACGTGCTCAACTTTTTGGCTCAGCTCTGGTACTCTCTTCGGTCCCAAGCTAATCGATGCACTCCTCGAAACATAGGAAAATCCACGATCCCCTCATTTTATCTGTCAAACTTTCATAGCGAATCAAAACAAACATAGTGTAGTACTAGAATTTCGCCTAGAATGGGGTGCGTTAATCGTTTGCTTGGGACCAATAGGCTAGTCAAGTAGTGAACCAATTTAAAATCGTTAGTTTCCACCGGTTGGTACAACGGTAGTACAACAGTGTACTTTGTATGTCTGTACAAGGTCTTAAGTACCGGATGTAAAGGATAGAACTCAAATTCATCAGGAGCGAAATACCTACGACGGTCACTACCGGGAACTTCGTCAAATAATTATCCGAGCATCGGTCACCATCCTCAGGGAACTATAAAGCTATACAACAGTACAATGAGAGAGAAGGATTAAGAATTTCCATTTAATTTCACTACCTTATTTGCTTATCCTTGACAGATACGCGTATTTCGTCTACAATGTGCAGATTTCTTCAGTGTCTTGTACTAATACTCGTCTATGTCGTAATGTGTTGTACTAATACAAGTTACTGAAGAAGTCTGCACATTGTTGACGAAATACGCGTATCTGTCAAGCAAATAAGGTAGTGGAATTAAATGGAAATTACTAAACCTTCTCTCTCTCATTATACAGGTAAGACGCCCACATTCATCAGGATATACAACAGTACAACTTTTGCCCTATTGCTGCATCGAATCTTTGCCCCAACGGTGCGCCAAAAAATAGTTTTGAACATTGTTCTTTAAACACCTTTCTAGCTACGAATGTACTGAAAATTCATCAAAGCAGCGTAAGAGAAAGCTATTGGGTTAGGGATCGTGTGTTTGAAATTATGTTGATTCCAAATGCTTGGAGTTTTGAGATTAAGGTATATTTGAATAATTTTAAAATACCAAATTTGGTAAATAGACATCTGCTTTAGGGAATCAGGAAGGTTGAACATAATCAGATCTGTTAAATCCGCATTCTGATACACATCAGCGCCAAATAAATAAAAAATGTCCTTCCTCTGCTCATAAAACAGGCGTCCACCAACAATCAACCAGGACGAAGGAAGAACTTTCCGCCTCTTCATGGATAAGCGAATTCACGGGTGCGATCCGCCCCCCCCCTCCTCAAGAAACGTCTGGATCTTCTGCTAGACAAAGCTCTCCATCCTCCCTGGATTCTGGAGACAACCAACAGCTCAAACAAATAATCCCGATCTGTTCTCAGTGGATGAACTCATGGAGATTTTTATCAACATGACCGGTGCTCTACGTAAGTGCCGCAATAAGCCCGAACAGATTCAAGTGCTCGGTAAGTTCATCATCCAGTATGGTGTCTAAACCACTGAACATCGCTACCTGGCACGCATGCTCTGTAAGAGCTAAACAGATTGAGCTTGCCGACTTCTTCCGCAAGCATAGCATCGACGTGGGCCTGCTAACCGAGACCCATCTTAAGTCCGGCGACAGCTTCTGGTAGCCTGACCACAACATTATCCGGCTTGATCGCACCAGCTCCAGGGGGTGGTTTAGCGGTCATCGTCAGAAAGGGAGTCAAGTTCTGCACTCTGCCCCACATCCACACTTCTATTATTGAGGCCGTTAGTGTGGAGGTGGAATCACCAACTGGAAACGTCCGGTTTATCGCTGTTTACTGCCCACGCCAGTGGACCGCAAGCAACAGACTAGGAATCCAATTCAAGAACGACCTGACCTCCATCACGCGTACTAGCTCCCGATTCATCGTTGGGGCGACCTGAATGCCCGCCATGAAGCTTGGAGGAACTACCAGCGGAACCGGAACGGATGTCTATTGTACGACTGTGCAGTTTCCGGACGAATCAACTTTTATCTCTCCGGCGGGAAATCCCTCCACCTTGGACTTTTTCCTGTCGATCATCGGACTATGCAAACCGGAAGCGCACAACAATCTCAGTTCCGACCACCAACCGGTGGTGACTGAAGTCGGTGTCAACGTGGTTCCTGCTAGAAGCTGCCTGCGTAAAGACTACCACCATGTCAACTGGGTGCAGTACGGACGAATGGTGGACAGCAACATCGATGAAAATCCACCACTCGACACCGTAGATGACATCGACCAGGCGTTGGTGGGACCCCAACAGGCCATATCCATGGCTGACGAGGCATACGTTCGACAAGTTCCTGTGAGGGGTAGGTTTGTTGCTATTAATTCCCACGCCCAATTACTGATTCGGTTGAGAAATGTTCGTAGACGCTAGTTTCAGAGGACTGGAGATCTGGGAAAAAAAAAACGTGAAATGGCCAATCTGAACAGGCAGATTGCTTCCAGAATGGACTCACCCAAAATGAAAGTTTCAGGCGTGTTGTCCAGAATTTGGACAACCGCTCCAGACCATTCTGGAAGGTAGCCAAGGTCCTGAAAACACATCCCAAACCCATTCCAACTCTCAGAGCCGAAAATGATGACGATCGACTTTTAATCACCCACAGGAGAAAGCAAATGCGATCGGAGAGCATGTCGCTTCATCGCATTTGCTTGGCTCTACTGTCCAAAGTCCGCTCGATGCTCAGGTTGCGTAATGTGTTCAAAACCTAGATGCCTCCCTTTGTGGCATGCCTCCGGTGGATATGATTACAGTACAACAGATTTGCTCAGCGCCTAAATGCATCAAGAACATGAAGGCTCCCGGGTTTGACGGTATATTCAACTTGATCTTGAAGAGACTCAGCATGAAAGTGCCGTCTCTTCAAACCGCTATCTTCAACAGATGCTTGGAACCGAGCTTGGAACTTCACTACTTTCCAAGCAAGAAAGTAGCAAAAATCATACCAATCCGCAAACCCGGTAAGGATCCAACATTGCCTTCAAGCTACAGACCAATCAGCCTCCTTTCAGCGCTGAGCGAATCGTCCGAGAAACTCATTCTCAAACGTTTACTCAAATTTGTCGAGGAAAACAACATTCTCCTTCTGGAACAGTTCGGGTTCAGAAAGGGGCACTCCACCAATCACCAGCTAGTACGGGTGACGAATAACATCCAAAGTAACAAAGCTGTATCCAAGTCCACAGCCATGGCTTTGCTAGACGTTGAAAAGGCGTTTGACAATGTTTGGCATGACGGACTTGTGTACAAGCTTTGTAACTTCAACATCCCATTACATTTGGTTAAAATCACCCGTAACTACCTGCAGCAAAGTTCGTTTAAGGTATCACATGAACACATCGATGTATCAATTGGATAAATGTTCACATTTCCAGAATAAATAATAAAAAAAACCTTTTTTTTTATTCTGGCGCGTATTTAGTATAAGTAATGTTTGTATAAATATGAGCAATAAAAACGATCTGACTAACTTTTGCTGTTTCTTCACTCTTCTGTACAATTGTCGTTTCTATTTGAGAGCTCGTTGTCCTTCTTTGCATCACTGCTAGTTCCTGAATGTCTCCCATGTCATTTCTGATGTGATCCACGATATATCGACATCCATTATTTTAGTAAGATGACCTTAAGTTCCTAGTTGTGTCTTATAAAACCGTAACATCATTGCGGAAAATTGACATTACCCATCTCCGGGTATTGTCTTAACGAGCATCACTCCATTGTCGTATGACATGTGCTTCATTTTGCTGCTCTCCTTTTACTTTTACTTTGTCGACTCCATAGTACCGTAAAACATATTGATATATACATTATTAGTAATGCTGTGATATATGAGGGAACCTTTAAATTTAACACGATTTGAAGTACTTCAATGCAACATTCAATTTTTTTACTAAAAATTGATACATTTATAATATGTTATCTTAACTAATTTCTGGAAGCATTTACTTGTGTTTTATACAAATCGTATCAATGTTCCGTCATATCGTATCTTCAAGTGATCTTCGCCAGCGTCACATTTCATTCCGGCTCTACATGTGGTGAAATATGAAACGCACCTTTAAAAGTAAATTGATGCTAGACGCCTTACAATGGTTGTCGGTGAAGCAAAGAATTGTATATTTGACTATGGTGTACCTCTGTGGATATATGTTGTATCAGAGGCGTGTCCACCTTCAAATATGTGGGTGGGACAAGGTACTAATTACAATCTCATAGATCTTTTGAATATTTTTTGAATCGTGAACAGATTCCGGAGATGTATGACCGAAACATGTTCTGGTTTGTTAATGCCATGAAACTAAATGCGGCCTAAAATGAATAAAACCTATCATGTGACACATTAAATGACATTAGAATTAAAAAAACCAGTGGTACTACTAATCAGAGCACAGGACTATACTGGCCACATCCGGCCATGTTATGGGAACCCTCGACCCCAGTTTTTAGCTACTTAGGACTAAAATTCATCATGCGTTACCTTAAATCACATGAAAATTCATCTATCTTTTCTCATCATATGATAAGTGATCATACGATGAGAAAAGATAGATGAATTCGGAATTTCTATTAATAAGAAGGGTAAGAGTTCATCATTGGAGGATTAATTCATGTTTTAACTATGTTCTCTATAAAATCGTGGGTGAGACAAAGCTTTGACTGTCCCACCCTGATATTTTTGTGCGTAGGACATGTCCCACCCACTCCTCGCGCCACTTTGTTGTATATATGAGGTTTAATCCATTCTATTGGTTGTTTAATATGCTTCAATGAAACAATCAAATTGACATTGCATTTAGTCAATAACAACGCTTGCTATTTTAGAAATTTTTAATTGAGCACAGGTAACTGCATTTAAGTTAACTTAAATAAGT